TCTTAACGCCGTCCGCACCGAGCAGGATGTCGCATTCGACTTGTTGGGGCTCTCCGTTGCCCTGAGCTGGTGTAATGGTGAACTTTGGCTTCGCACCAAACTGTACGTTGGATATGTTGCAGCCCAGCTTGAATGTGATCCCGCTTTCCTTCTTGCAACCCTCATAGAGGCCATTTGCCAAACTCGCTCGGTGGCCGACCATGTGTGGGTATCCATACTTTTCTCGCACGTAGCCCAGATCTACGTACCCTAGCTCCTTGTCTGTCGAGCCTTCCCGAATTGATGTATTTGCGCATTGAACTGCCTCGTCGCGGATTGGTCCCCAGCAACATAATCGGTCGAGGATGCGAGCCATATTTGGTGCGAGTTGGATGCCGGCGCCTACGAAGCCCATATTCGTTGCGTTTTCATATATCGTGATGTTCTTGTGACCAGCTTTTGCGAGAGATAGTGCTGCCGCTAGGCCGCCCATGCCTGGAGTTTGTTAGCTATCACGGTATGGTGGGTGATCTGGGTGGGAATGTCTACCTGCTCCAACAATCGCTATCCTAGTATTCTCTGCCATGATAGAAATACTGCGCCTCTGTCTCACCACTCGATGTACAATATCTGCTGGTATGGTAGAGGATGGAGCGCTGCTGAAGCAATGTGGTTGCTGGTTGTTGCTGAGTTGGTCTCGCCGAAGACAAGCAGGGAACGTCCCGACAGCTCTTAAGATTCCTCTTAAACGTTTCTATATCTCAGTCTCTTGCTTTTGCTCCAATCCCTCCACAAGTTCCGAGCTCCTTCCCGCGCGTAATGTTCAGCCACCGGAAGATAGCTTAGCCGGAAAGTTCCTACCAGGTCTTCCGAAGCTGCCTCCGAACCTTGAAAAGCACTACACGTCACTCTCAGTCGCAATAGCCGAAGTTTATCTAAGTCAACTCAGTAAGCACTTCTTCGATAAACATATATCGGGGAAGCTGTCGGCCCGAATACGTCCACGCCTGGGGAGCTTGCTGTTCCAAGGTTGTCAGCTACCGGCTGCACACCCCACCGTGGCGGGGCAACGGTTAGCGTCTTTCCATCTCAGCGCCCCACCGCCATCAATGAACGCGCGAGATCCGGCAAATGCGGAGTCGCGGAGTGTGGGTGAGCCGTTCTTACATCTTACTATCGCATCGGCTGTGATTGCACGATCTCGAGGTAAGCTCAAGACGCTGTGCTTAGAGATATTGAAGATGCGCATGAGTCCCGACGCCGGATCGCTTCCACTACGCGACAATATACCTCCAGAGACACGAACTGATGCCGCAGTTCCTGTAAAGCATCAATTGGGCGTCACATTTGATGGCTTAAGCAGTTCGCGATCTTGCCAACATTATACCTTTACTCGTACATCATATGCCTGGTAGGCCTTGTCGCCTACTTAGAGCCGCGTCGATAGTCTCTTGTGGGCGTTCTCTTCAACGCTTGTCGCAAGGACGCGTGTAGAAAAGCCTAAGACAAGAAGAGCATGAAAAAACGTATGTTTTACTATCTCTTCATCGCGTCGCGATGGGAATCTGGGAATCTGGAAATCTACATCGAGCCGCAAGTCGACTTCAACCCGTGGGTACGCGATGGGGGGCTGCATACCCCGCGCTAGCTCAGGGTAGGATGTGGGGTGACTTCCCGAATCATCCCACGAGTAGACTGAGAATTTCGCATCTTTCGTGTCTTTAACAACGATAACAGCTAATTCGTCGAAGGCTTTACGGACGACTGCTATGTGATCATTGGATCTGTGAGCGAAGACGAACAAATACCTCATCATTACGTGTCGCGAGGCTCACGTAGAGGAAAAGGGTTCACCCGAAACTCTCTTTAATCTTCGGAACACGATCGGAAGACCAGCCTGAAGACAGCGTGACCTTCGGTGTCAGATAAATCACCTGGAGCTTGCTACCTCTGTAGTGGTGATCTAGAACAGTAGCTTCGCGGAAAAGGCTTCTCCCTTGGGCCCAGCATACCTTCGCGGACAACAACTTCAGGAAAAAAAGGAGTACACGGACCTAAACACAGCGACACTCGATAATGGCTCGACGAAGCTCATTCGATCAAGCATCAGACGGCTTCCGGGCTCATCTTCCAGACCTCAGCAGTCCCCGCTTCACGACGGCCGCAAAGCAAAACATCTACGAATATGTCCAGTCAATGCAAGACAACCGCGCCCCGCCATGGCTGTACGATCTGACTAAAGTCTGGGAGAAGTTATTGGAAGAGCCGTACAAAGGTATTACGAATGACGGCACTGTTAGGGAGGGTCTATATCAAGCACGAGACGAAGGTGTAGATGTTGATGGCCCGGTCAAGAAGGCGGAAGAACTCCTCGCAGCTCTCGACAGCGAGCAGAGGGCGAAGATTTCGTATCCCATCAATGCCAGAGAGTGGAGGGCATGGAGTAACCCAGAGTTCTTACTGCGGCCATTTGGGCTCAGACTCGAAGAAGGTAAGTCTCAAAATCACCAACGTTGCGACCTAGGCTAACTGCTAAAGTCCCTGAGAGTATCGCGCAGTCAATGCTCGCAGTGGTAGAGGCATCTCTTTCCCCAGAAGGCTACGAAAAGGCTATCGCGGCCATGCGGGTGAACCATTTCTTGGGCGAGGTTGTTAAGCTACCCAACATCTTGAACAAGTACTCTTACAACTTCCTGCTGTTTGGTACGCCATCGACCTCCGCTTCCTCGCCTTGGGGCTGGCTCCTCTATGGCCATCATCTCGACATCTCCTGTTTCTACAAGGGAAGCCAGGTTATCATGAGTCCATCGTTCACAGGTGCCGAGCCCAACATCATCGATGACGGAGAATGGAAGGGTACCAAGATATTACACAAAGAAGGCAGTCTGGGCTGGAAGCTGATGCAGAGTCTCAGCCAAGAGCAACAACAAAAGGCACAGATCTTCAAGAAGATGAGAGATGAAGGCATGAAGCAAGTCTACGGCAACTCCAACAATGACGAGACTAAGCGAGACGAGCTCATTACCGATACGTGGGGCCCAGATGACCAGCGCCATCGATGCGGTGCCTTCCGCGACAACCGCATCGTACCTTACGAGGGCGTTCTGGTCTCTTCTCTCGACTCATCACAGCAAGAACTCGTCCTCGCCATTTGTGAGGAGTTCCTGCTATATCATCCCGCGAAGGCGCGCCAACAAAAGCTCGATCAGATCAGACAATACTTAAGCGAGACCTACTTTTGCTGGATCGGAGGCTTCGGCGAAGACGACGCGTTCTACTTCCGTGTTCAGAGCCCGGTCATTCTAGTCGAGTTCGATCACCACTCCGGTGTATTTTTGACGAACAAGGAGCCAGCTAAGTATCACACGCATACGATTGTGAGAACACCAAATGCGGGAGATTATGGACAGGCTATTAGAGAAGGAAACGAAAAGTTAGAGTGAGCAGGCACTGGGTGCAATGTACATAAGGTGTGTCGCAAGGAGATACGTGGCACCCATGTCGTAGATCTCCGTTGTGAGGCGCATGTTGATGATGAGAGGCTACAATAACTACCATACCTATCCTCCACTTCCAGGCGCCGGCCTCGTATCACCAACGAGATTCGTATACTTAACATCCACCTCAAGAACTCCAAACCATACATGTCGGCCATCCCTTTGCTCGAACCTCACCTCGCCCTCCAAAGTAACGAATTCCGCTTCCTCACCTGCCGGAAGATAATTCTCGATTACCCGTACTAAGTCTTGTTTAGCAATCTCATGTCTACGTTCTTGCTGTTCATCAGCATCGCTTCCTGCGGCAACCGAATAGTGAATAGCAACTTCTTCTTGTGGCATAGTTGGAATCCCGGCTATCAATGCGAACATATTTCCGGCATCATCATGACGAGGAGTCTTAGCTCTTACGTACGTAAAGCCTGGTCGTTTCTGCGTTGATAGATGATCGTAAGTCTCCACGTCGCCTTTGTAGGTTGTCGGATAGAGAGAAAAGCCGACATGGATGTTGGGTTTAGCTGGGATATCTTTTGGGGTTACGTAGCGGACGATCACGTAGTACTTTTCGTCTACCTTGTAGGGGCCTTTGGGTGCCATGTTGAGGATGTTGACAGCGGAATCCGCGATGGGGGAGTTGACTTATATGCTAAGTGTTTGCCAAAGAATGAGTTGGTCAGACCCGGGTGACACTACCAATCAGCTTGATCATGCTATTCTCTGATGATAGCTTCAGGTGCCGATATGAACATCTAGATATGGTATCTATACGCAAAGGGATGAAAGACATAAGTGCGTGATGCTCCATTGATGCGACCTGTGCCAAATATATTCTACTGTCTACCTGCACGGCCTCATGCGGTGTGTGCGTTCACACCATGGATCTGGAATCTGACGTGATAACGCTGGAACCCCAAACCATAACGAATAATAGCTATTCTATCAGCCCAGCCATTGCCAGCATTGAAGTCTAAAGTCAGGTTGCCACGTGGCATGAGCTCCTGCACACTTGCTGCTACCACCTCGCGCAGATCCTGTTCGGCCTCCATGATCTGCCGTCTTGGATTCCTGACTATCATAACTGTTGTCTCGACGTCACGGGCTATTTCTGCCGTAATCATAGCCATGCTCTTATCTCCATTGAAGTAAGGGTTAAGCACGCAATTCCAGTTGATGTTTTGATTGGCAAAGAACTGGCGCTCCTCCAGATTTTGGAACCGCTGAGACCGAACCCGAACAATCGGAATCAGGTCCTCACTCTGGTTTGTGGTGCGAGTAACCATGTAGACTGGGATGGACATATTAAGTATCTCGTGAAGGGGGTGGGAAGTAGCGCGAACACATCCATGAGAATGGTCGGAAGTAATATACAAGTTGCGGGCTTGCTACATCAGGTCAGCTGTCAGTCGTGCGTGCTCATCGTGGACAGCCGAACAAGTACCAAATGGCCTCCATCCGCACTGGAAGACTCCGTCACAAGTTTCCAAAAACTACCAAGCTCAATGCATGTGCGAATAGCAAAAACAATGCTGCAACCCAGGGTCGAACTGGGGACCCTTCGCGCGCACTATTTGTGTGAGGCGAATGTCATAACCACTAGACCATTGCAGCTTCTTCTGTTTGGCTATACAAGAATCCCGAAAGACTATATGAGGTATCAACGGCCGCTCCAAGACTGCTCAAGCTTCAGGAAGATAGTTTGCAGTTATGAAGTGTATGGATTAAGGAAGCGACGGACGAGCAGTGGCAGGAGCAAGGAGGAGCAAAGAGTAGCGATGAGAAGCAGCGGATATCATGCAAATAGCTCTTTCTCATGACGGTATTTCAAGTCTTTTGATGAGTTTAGAGTGGCTGATTCCGTCGTCACTCAACACACCAGGTCATTCTCCCAAAGGGTCATTCTGGTTCTACTCACAGGTTCACCCATTCTGGTCACATGGCGTATTGCGAGCACGCACGACCGACTGCTTGCTGGGGTAGCAAGCTAATCCCGTATATATGGACTGCGGTGGTCTTCGTGAAAGTAGCCCTTCATCTCGACTTCTTTACACAAGATAACACAATATGCCCACAGTCCCAGTCTTTATCGTCATTCGCAGCACCGATGCGGTTGCTGACACTCCAACTATCCGTGTTGCATCTCTGCCGTTTTGCGATCCAGTCACGTATCCATTCATCACCGACATGGGCGTCATCTGGCATATGGTGGCCAATCCCCTCTACGCTGGACAAGATGGTATGGCTATGATCACAGCCGATATGGACCGTGACGACAAGAGGACTGTCAAAATCGTTAATGATCCACGGTTGGAAATGGTAGACGCGGAACGTGATTTGCGAAGACTTGTGGCTTCAGAACTGGAGGGACTCATGTTGATCGGTGGCGTGGATCTCAAGTACATCCCCGGTATGAATGTTGATGGCGTCGAAAAGACGGGCGGTCTGGCCATAATTGATCATGGTTCGGGGCTCAAGCGACAGTGGACCAGGTATGCAATCAGACAGGTGGACGCACACTGCCCTGAGGTCGTGCCAGCGCACGGTAGTAGAAACTTTGAAGGTCCGAGTAACTAGTCAGCGGTGCGAAAGGAGTACTAAGCCTTCTCAATGATAATTCTTCGTGAGTGAGTTTCGCGTATTGCAACGCAAGCAGGTGCAACAGTGCTTGCACGGCAAAGTCAAATTACCACCCTGAAATTCTTAGATCCGGAGTGGGGCGTGTGCTCATTGTTGAGAGTCAAGACGTTGGATAGTCATGCACAGCTGCGATGCGGTCATGGTCTAGATCGCGATAATTTTCTTTCAATAAATCATTGTGGGCATTAATGACGATGCAGATGCTGATGAAGCTGGTGGTGTTGACGCTGTGGTCACTCCACACCTGGGCAGGACGAACTGGTTGCGGAGCTGCACGCTGACATCAGCGTCGCGGGAACCTCGGCCAGCCACGCGATGCGCGTGCTCACCCCACAATCGAAAGACTGTCGTCTAACCACGATCAGCACACCACTAACTCCACATGGCCCAGTCCCGTCGTCTCAGCGTCCGATTGGATCTCGGTGGCAGCCGTTTCACCAGCCGAACCCTTTCCAGGCGGCACGCCAGGAGAAGCCGCGATACATGCGCGGCCGGGAAACCCTTTGAAGGGGAGCACCCAACGACCTGGTACGTCAGCGGCCTTTCGGTCTGGGGAGGCGACGCGAGAATGCGTCGGACTAAGCTCATCAGTCCATTTGCGTCACGGAGCCCGGTGATGTCAAGTGCTGTGATTCGTCGTATGATGTACGGGTGTGGTGGAGAGACATGAGTGCACAGCCTACTTGTGACCTGCATTTCCCCGCACGAGGCTGTCGTATATACAGTCCGCATACGCCGCGCTTGGGACGTCTCACCGGAACACATTACACGTAGCAAGCCATCAATCAAACACCACACTACCGAAGTCAAACCGCGGCCGATACTTTCACACGTCTTGGCCATCACACCTACCAACGTCAAACACAACCACACCTGGGCACATCAAGCGACAATATATAAGTCGAGCCAAAACTACCATCTCGAGGAACCATCACCATACTCGGCACTACTTTCGCCACTACCACACAACCATCAACATGTCTTTCCTCCTCCGCACATCTACCCTGGTACGCCAGAGGCTCTTCACCACTTCAACACGTGCTCGCAGTGCCATCTCCATGGAAGATGCCGCCGCAGCACAGATGACATCCACCCCTGGTGCGAGTGTCGTCCCAAGGCTCGGAAGGGTAGCGCGATGGTACGTCTCTTCCTACTCGATATGAGTATCAACACTAACCAAGACCAGGTATCTCCCGACCATGGCGGCGGTAGCCATTGGTATGATCTACCTTCCCAAGACCGCATCACAGCCTCGCCGACCCCTCACGCTCGGTGATGCTAATGCCAACATAGGCTTTGGCGTTACCAATGCACTTAACGAGGCCAACCGCAAAGTACACTCTGCGCTTGAGCTTACTCAGGAACAAAAGAACCAGATGCTCATGGACTCTTACGGCGAGCGCTCAAGCTTGGAGGACATGGAAAGGGCCATCGCTGGACTTGAGGCCAAGATGACCACCCAGAAGGACAGGAACAGGATTTTGGAAGAGGCATATGGCGACAAGGCCAGCCTTGAGGACCTCCAGAGGGCCATGGAGCTGTACGAGGTGCAGTGAATGAAGCAAGGAAGGGTGGAAACCCCGAAGAGCAGAACCCCAGCTTCGCGCCTTGGAGCGCACACACTACAGAGAAGAGAAGGATGAACCCGCGCGCTGAACGCCGCGAGAGTCACACCGCCAGGCCACGAGCAGACACCGACATCAAATCAGGGTGTCTGGCTCGTGTACCTCGAGAAGTGACGGAGGAACACGCATTTCACTTACGTCTCGGCTTTTAGCGTTTTTAGCAACTCGTAACAGACCCCAACAGTGGGCTACGATTTCGTACTATACCAATATCATCAATATCAATTTACTATGTTCAATACACAATATTCTCGTTCCTCTTTCCAGCCGATGCTAGCCTTGTTCGCTGCTCGGTGCATCTCGTCGCTCGAAAATGTCCGACGCCCGACACGTGATCCGACCCGAGTTCTCCCGGCGGCCGCGCTCCATCACAACACCATCTCCGCGCTTGGGTACTCCACATTCCGAAGTCGAGATGCGACTGCCGTTGTGGAGTAGGACCGAACTGCGCCGTGAATTGCATCGTGACAGGTCCGGACTTCGTCTAAGTTAGACCAGTTCGAAGATATGTTCACATTGTTACACGAGAGTTGTTGAAGTTCAAGAGAGTTGATAACGCGCTATCTATGCCTGTCTCCTTGCGCTTAGTCCTTATCCGTAATTACGAAGCTCCAGATCTCTCGCCACACTCCGCGTGCTAATCGCGCTGGTCTTCTCTCCAAAATCTGCTCTATCCGCGCTCTTTCGTTGTTCCTCGAAGCCTCCGCTTCCATCTCCTCCTGCATCATGGGGTCCATGCTCACACTAAGATGCACCTGTTCCTGCTTGAACGGGTCTTCAAAGGTGCTCAGAGGACTCACAATGCCATCGTGCTGGGCGTCCATCTCGTACGAACCGAACCGATGTCGCGGAACTGGCGGAACTGAGACTGGGCCTTCGAGCTCGATGCTGGATAGATCTTCCAGGACGTAGTCTTCCACCGTAAGGTTGCGGAGGTCAACTTTGGATGTTCGGGGATATATGTACTTGTATGAGAGGTACAAAGATCCGAACAAGAAGGGGCCAATGTATGCTCCGAGGACATCGAAAGCGAGGCTGATGGTAGACTTCAGGTTGTCTGTGGAAGTGAGGCTGCCTTTCGCGACAAGAATGACCAATGGTGGAACACCAGACCATATGAGGACGAACGCGCTTCCGAAAATCCCGATATATGCAGGCAGTGGTTGCCATCGGGACTTGAACAGGCGTGACATGTAGAGTGGGTGATTGCGACCGAAGATCTGCCGCCTCGCTAAGCGGTCAAGGCCAGCTTTGAAGCGCAGAAAGGTGATGCAAAGAGTGAGATAGATGCATGCCGCAGTGCCTGTGTACAGTTCGGAGAGTGTAATACGCGGCTGTGAGCCAGTCTTGTCTGCCAAGCCTATCAGAGACAAGAACCCGAGTGCTGAGCACAGCAAAATGGCCGCCAAAGGTGTATGCCCATTGTTAGTCCGACCAAAGATCTTTGCGATATTCCTTGGGAGGTACTGCTGTGAAAGCATAAACACACTACGAGATGCGGCGTAGAGATCGGTATTGGCTGTAGTGTATGCCGATATAATGAACAACCCGTTCAAAACCTTCGGTAGCGCGTGGATAGAAGACTCTTCGGCCGCGATTACGAACGCTGACTTCGTAGCGTAGTCGCCCCTCGCCCATATCTTCGGAAGCTGCGGGTCGGCGTAGTTGACATTTGCTCCAGCGGCTAGCATCGCAAATGGGTATATGCTGAGCGGAACGATGTAGACGAACGACATGGTGATGGGCACGTCCGTCCAAGGATTCTTTGCTTCACCGACAGTCATAGCGACCAGGTCTGCTCCGAAGCAAGAAAACATGGCTAAGACGATTGAAGTGCTTCACAAGATGTTAGCTCTCAGCGGTATCTGGAGGTATGCTAGAAACCCACATGAGAGCGAACAGTGTCCCTCCGGGGCCGGATATACCGAAAGTTTCATCAGGAACACCAGCCATCTTGAGAGAGACAGGAGTGGTAGTATTGTGGCCAATTGGCTTCCAGTCCGATGTGAATCCGAAGGTCGTATAATCTGCATTGATCAGCGTTGTCACACGTAGCCTGAAGATGTTGAACGTACTCGAATGGTATTCTCCTTGTCTCGGGCCGCCGCCTTGGTAGCGTTAGACACATGGCTATGTTGCATTGAAGCGCGGAAGCATACCGGAGAAGTTCAAGACCACACCCATAACACATACAAGGACCAGTAAGCTCAGTTTGAACCACATGACGACCTAAACGCTCGTCAGTTCGCTGTTCGTATCGAGAGCCGTCACCAGGGTGACCGAATCCGTGTCGCATGTTGCCGCATACAGATTGCTAACTCTTAGCAAGTAAACACGCTCTAAGCTAAC